CATCCATCCATCCATCCATCCATCCATCCATCCATCTCTCATTTTGCCCATTTTTTTTTCAAAATACCTAAAAACCACCTCCACCAACCGCCCAAAACACACCCATTGGAACCGGACTGGAACATCAGTGGAAAACCAACCGGTCCGACCCGTACCGACCCGTACCTACACCGACCGTTCCGACACTACACCATGGAAAAGGGACATTAGAGACAAACAAGCATTCACTCTCTCACTCACACCCGAGGACAATTTAGAGTTACCAACTAGAAGCACTCAGAGAGTGCAAACCTYCGCCAAGACCAATAYCCCCCATTCTGTAATGGAGTTAATGCACAAAAGCAGAGATTGAAACACATTTGCTGAATAAGTTCTGACGTAGCGAACATTTAAGCAGGCAGTATGCATGGAATTTCTTCCCGGTTGAGTCCAATGTGGGAAAAAAAGGAGAAAAGTCAGACTCGTCACACGACGTTATTGTTGAAAGCTTTCACATCGGTGCTACGTGATTCAAAAAAAGCAGAGTTTTCATCGGGCATGTAATCACACAGACACACTCGTCTTCCTATCTTTGTGAAGAACACACACAGCGGTCACAACCACGCTCTGCGCATTCTTTTTTYCCCCAAAGTTTGGCGAGAGGTGGATAGAGGGGCGCACAAATAGCTCTCGACTGGATGTGGCCTCACTGAAATAATAATAAAATTGAACAAACAAAACAACCTCCGAGTGTGAAGTCCACCGCGTCACTCCTCTTCCTCAGTCTTCATCAATCTGTGTACAAGCCTACCGACAATGTGGTGTGTTTGAGGAAATGAGAAAAGTAGGTTTCATGGTGCAGTCACGCACTTCGTGGTCACAAAACGTTCTCTAAATGCTCACCAAATGCGTAAAAATGYGCGCATTATGGCAAGAATTATTCATCATTAAATCAGGTTTTAACATTACTTTTATAAAGTTGGAAGTCCAAACACTGAAAGCTGTCACAGTTTTTTACAGAAGCCCTGTGAAAGCATCACAACTTTGCCGATCTGTGAGGATTAAAAGGAAAAAATTCCTGTATCCACATCGTGATCCGGAACATCACCAAAATTTAGTGGTTTGTTCCTTGTGCCAGTATCCACATGTGATGTAAATGTCATGACAATCCGTCMACAAGTTTTTGAGTAATGTTGTCCACAGACAGAACGACAGACAGACATAMGTGACCGAAAACATTACCTCGCCTTTGGCGGAGGTAATTAGCCTAACAGTCATGTTTTTGGTCAGTTGAGGAAGCTGGAGTGCCCAGAGAACACCCTTGCTTGCACAGAGAACATGCAAACTCTGCCTATAAAGGTCCCCGGACTAAGATTTGATACAAAAACCTTCTTGCTRAAAAGCAACAACTCTACCAACTGAGCCACTGTGTTGTCCTCAAGGAGAATCTATCCAGCATTTTAATAACCAGAGATAAACTATATTGCCAAAAGTATTTACTCACCTATCCAAATTGACTGTGCACCAGTGCACAAAGCAAGGTCCATAAAGACCTGGATGTCAGAGTCTGGTGAGGATGAACTTGACTGGTCTGCACAGAGTCCTGATCTCAACCTGATAGAACACATTTGGGATGAATTAGAGCAGAGACTGGGAGCCAGGCCTTCTGTCCAACATCACTATGTGACCTCACAAATGTGCTTCTGGAAGAATGGACAAAAATCCCCATAAACACTCCTAAACCTTGTGGACAGCCTCCCAGAAGAGTTTAAGCTGTTCTAGCTGCAAAGGATGGACCAACGTCATATTGAACCCTATGTGTTAGGAATGAGATGTCACTTAAGCTCATATGTGAGTCAAGGCAGGTGAGCCACTACTTTTGGCAATATAGTATATATTAAACTGCTAATATTAGAGCGTAATTTCTGATTATTAAAAAGTGTATTAATGTTGTTAACAGGCAGGGATTAAAATCAGATAGTTTGAATGTACTGGACGATGAGTCCTTGTAAAATTTATGATCACCATTTGTAGTGATCCGGGGTCTCTGATGACAATGCAGGGACCTTTCCTGACCCCATCACCTCAGTATAGTCTTTTAACAAGATAATGCTCGTACACATGTGTCTGTGAACTACCTGAATCACATGTACACCCATGACCAGCCCAGGATCTGACTTTCCACCAATCAAATCTGTGAAATCAACTTGRCCATCAACTCCAACCTAGGGTGAAATGGAGTCAGTTACAACTACTGTGGGCCAACTTGTCACAGGAGAGGATACAACAGCTACAGTGGCTTTGTTCCACACTGAATCTAGGCTTGTATTCAGGTCTGGGAGCATCTCATACCCTACTGACAGGGGATCAGCCCTGTCAGCTTCTATATCCATTTAATCACTGCAATATAGTCCCATGATCTTTCAACATGTGTACCTTACTTTCACTTCCACCACTCTGTCTTAATGCTTAACTGTTTAGTTTATTTACCTGAGAGCACAGAGCTTATTTAAATGATGAAGTAAAATGAAAACTGAGACACTGCCTAAGAGCGCTCAAGCTTGGATTTAAAATTGATGCGAATGTTGATCACATTGGAATAAATATTAATTATGTCATCTTCTTCCTAAACCAGAAATATTTGCTGCACAGCTGCAGTGTTGCTCAATGACTACAATGAGTGGAATGTATGCAGGGTAATTGGTCTCTGTGTTGTTTGTTACTAAAATAAAGTGACCACAGCAATCCAATCTTTTTTTAATGTTGGCATCATTCCCAGCAAACTGCTGGCATTTAAGTCATGTAATTAGAAAAAAGCCAGTCCCACAGACAGACCTGTCATTGAGAGGAATCAGAATGGCTCCTGCCTGTTGAATGAACCAAAAACATTTACTGTAATAAATGCTCGTTTCTAAATTTTACAGATAACATTGTTCACTTAGATTGTTCAACAACTCCTTTTCTTAGCAAAATGAAAGATTTTATCAAAGCTTTTAAGGTGTGACCAAGAAACTCTTGTGGTATTACAGTAGCATTAGAGTTTCTCCTTTGGAGAAAGTGTTGGGTTGTTGTCGCTCTAAAAATCTAATTTAACTGACTAATTTGGTGGCAAGGGTGTAAATCCCAGGGGGGGTCGGGGGGGTCATGACCCCCCAATATTGGAAAACCCTGAATTGGACCCCCCAATAATGAATTTCACAAATATATAATTTTAATTAAAGCCATACTACCAAGAGAAAGCAATTACATCATTTTTGTAGGCTAAATAATGCATTTATGTCTTTTGAAAAGTAGTTGTCCCCCACTCTCATCTGCCTAACAATGGTTCAGTCCATTGTGCCGGTTGGAGCTGCTCCGGAGTCAAGCTACAGATCATGTGGCACCAACAGGAAAAGGAAAAAACACAACATCCGCATTTTCAGAATAAGTCACCAGAGCACTTTGTCGAAGTCCTAGCTAGCCTMTTTTAATAAATATATAAGGTCAGTTATTTATACACAGATACTGTCACAATGCATCGTTCYRTTTGGGGAGAGGATGGCAACATGTTGCATGCAGAATATGCAGACACACGATACATGTAGATTTTATTTTGACATCAGAAGTTTGAGTGAACAGAATTTTAACTAAACAGTTAGCTCATCTAAACATTTGTGAAAAGAGTAGAAAACAGTAAATGTCGCATCGCCTCCTCCACTAGATGTAACTAACAGCACATGAGCCTGGGAATGTCTCCTCCCGSGGACTTCTCTGCCTTCCTTCCCCTCCACAGCTTCTGTCCCACAGGAGCCCAGCTCAGCTCAGCCACAGGTAACTGTTACACCTGGTTATTGACCGATCAGTCGGCTTTGAGTAAAATGTGTCCACAGACTGTAGGCAGCTTTCTGTGGCTCTCTTGAATCACTTTAACAATGTTGATTCACGTCGTATTCCCTCTTCAGAAACAATGAAAAAGAAAAAAAAAACCT